GTGAGTGAACCAACAGATGGAAGAGCTTTCTCTCTCTTCCTCTCCTTCTCTCTCTTTAAATCTACCCTTCCAATAAAAAAAATAATAATGTTTATTATAACAGAAAAGGATAAATCTAAGAAAAATATGCAGATTTCAGGGTCACAAATAATCAGAGTGAAGGCCTTCTCTGTGTGTGTCTGCAGCCTCCAGTGTTCTGCCACCATGGTATGGGCATGCTGAGCTGCAATTCTTTGCATAATTATTTTCTCCATGCCTCTCCCTATGGACTTTAAGTGTCCTAGGAGCACACAGAAGAACAGACAAGGTATAAAATTCACATTGATTGATTTAACTTATCATTTCAGTATTGATACCTTAGTTTTTCATAATACTCAGATTAATCTTAGATTTTTATTTTATTTGAAAGACAGAGAGTTTTCCTACAGTAGTTCATTTTCCAAATGCCAACAATATCCATGAATATGTCAAGATCAAGTCCAAGCCAAGAACTTGGAGCTCCAGCTTGATCTCCTATATGGTTGACAAAGGTCCAAGTAATGGACCCACATTCTGCTGCTTTTCAGCATATGAATTATCAGGAAACGGAAGTTAGGAGAGAACCCAGGACCTGAACCATGCACCCTGATATGTGAAATGGTTGTCCCAAGAGCTACAAACAAGGCCTTAGCTTTTCATGTCACTTAACAGTTTTTATTCCTTGAGTTTAGGGAAGTTGTGTTTTGCATTGTCTGTCTGTGGTCCCAAAGTGTTTTATCAGCTTAAGAAATGCAACCAGCTCAATGGGACCTAAGGTAGTTAACAGACAATTAGAACAGTTTTCCCCAGGACCACTAACAACACATGTGCTTCCGAGGCCCTGCACTCAAGGAAGGTGAGGAACACAAAGAAAAAGTAAGTAAACTGGTAGAGAGGAAAGAAAAGGAAGTGAAAATTTAAAAAATAAATAGTTAGAAAATGGCTTGAGCATTCAGACACGAAAAAGAATAATTAAGGCCCCCAAAATGAAAAAGTCTACCATTCTACCCCCCCTCTCTCTCTCCAGATCCAAAAGTGACTGGCTGATTTTTCAAAACATTATAGCATATTTATGCTTATTATATAATGTATATGTTCTCTCCTACATGTTAACATATAGCAGGGAGATACAGAGGCAGGGTAAGAATGATCACTTAAAAATCAGTTTGGCATCCTTTGGAGTCTTTTATTAGAAATAAACTTCATTCAACAGATCAAGACAACTTTGAAGGTGTGAAATCACCCATGTTCAAAGATATCAAGCAGAAACATTTAAGTGAAGTTACCACTTTTGATTGATCAAATGCTATCCAGAATAGATTTTCTCACTGCTTATGTGTTTCATTCACATCGAAGTAGAGCAACTCTGTGATTGAAATGGCTTTCTATCAAAGCCAGGGTTTGCAAAACCAACAGTGCTAAATGTTATCAGGCTCTACTCTTGTGAACCAAGAGAAGGTGAGGCAGCTGGGTCATCTTGAGACTTCATAAAATTCTCAACATCAAATATTGGGATTTGGCAGTGAGTCAGTGAAGGTTTTAGAGGCCCTCAAGGTAAACTTTGCCAACTTAGGCTTCTCTGCTGGTTAACCTAAATCAAAGGATTCTCTAGGGGATGCAGTAAATGTGAACTTTTGTGTGGCCTTTGTGTGTGAGTGTGTGTGTGTGTGTGTGTGTGTGTGTGTGTGTGTGTGTGTGTGTCTTAGAGCACACACTGGACTGGGAAATACTTCCTCGTTGGTGGAACCATGTAGATTCAGAAAAAGCCATCTTCCATTAAGAAGACAATGGTTTGCTATAGAGACAAGAAACAAATGCCCATGACCCGGGTCACCTCATCCCAGCAGGCTTTTGCAGCGGCTTCCTCTGAGCAAACACAACAAAGTCCAGAGCAGTCAATCCTGCTGCCCCACACTGGGCCCCTGCAGTTGTGCTCTGCTATTTACCCTTCCTATTAATCTGTCAATGTTCTAGTCAAACATGCAAAACAATATGGTGGGTGCATAGTTTGATTGGTCATTGCTAAGTAACTTGGGGCAAAGATGAAGAAATGGAACTTCCAACCAACAAAACGTGAGGCCCAATTTGATGGTTAGAAAATGTTCAACAATACCAATGCGTGACAATTTTCCAGGGTGGTCGTGATTTAGCAGCCTTCTCACCCTAAAGGAGGAGTCCAATGAATGACACACAGTTCCAGAATCTAAATTCAGGTCATGCTACCGTTCCTATCGTTGTGGGGTAGAACTGTCTGGGCATCTGTAGAGGAAGATATTCACTGGAAGATTCAATTCCTCCTGTGCTAAAGAGACTACCGAGGGATTTGAGTCAAAACACAACTGAGCTATTGGTCAACAACAGAAATAATCTTTAACGCAAAGAACAGAAGTCTTTGGTCTAACACTCCCTGGTTGCTAAACTGTGCTAATTGCATGGAACAAAGTGCAAGCTCAATTCTAAAACATTTTGAGCTTATTTTCCCTACTCCACTTTTCTCCTTGACTGTTAGACCAATTGAAACCTCAAATCCTTCTGAACACAAACTCTAGGTAAACATTTCTGTCCCACCATAATGAGCGCAAAAGATGAGGAGCCTGTTTGTCTTTCCAGCTCTACAGCTTCAAGTGAACAAACTCATCAAAATACAAGATATATTGATGAGCCAAACCAGAATGGAAAGAGTAGCTGGCTGTTTATGAACCTGGGATACCAGGACACTTTACAACAAAGTTAGTAAGATACAGGTGTTGAAGTCTGGCTGACTGAGAGGGATAGGGGTCAGATTCTCTCAATTTTTAACTATTTACTAACTACATGGACTTTGGCAAATACCTGGCCATTCTGAGACCTTTCATTAGTTCGTTAGAAAGTGGAAACAGAATATCTATATTGTATAAGTCAAGACCCTTTGACTCCTATTTTGTTTTCTCTATGTCTCCACAGACCACACGTTGAGGTTCATATGTTTATGGTTTATGACCCAAGAGGAAAAGGAACCCTCTCTTCCCATCTTGTTCTGAACATTGAGTAGAAGAATATTCACTGATTGGCTTGACTTGGGTTACATGTCAACCACCAAACACCTACTACAAAGGATCTGGACTATCTCAGAAACATTTGGCAGGAGTGAAAAGGAGCAGTTGGAATACTTGTTTTTAGATAAATAAAACAGTAAGCATGTGTTCCTTGATCTCACAAGAAAATGATTAGAAAAAAAAATCTATGTAAATGACTTAGTACTGACACATAACAAATACCCCCAAAAGTAGAAGCCAAGCTGATAGTAATTTTTTTACCATTATTATTATTGTAAATCTCTATTCTCAAAAAAAAAACCACAACTAATAGTAGTGATGTTCACAGAATGCTTATTCTTTCACATTGATTCCATCACTGGCTAATGTCAGATTATACAGCCAAACAGCACCCTCAGTGAAACAGCCAAGGGCAATTATCATTTCTTTCATGCTTCCATTTGAATTCAACTCCTATTCCATAGGATACAGGTTCAGTTTGGGTCCAGTTTACCATAAGCTGTTTATTTATATCCAGGGATGACATTTTAAAATCATTCACTCATGCATTAACTTTAGCTGCCATGTGTCAGGCACTGGTCTTGATCTCAGGAAACACAAGAAAGCAAAACCACCCAGGAATCTCCACCTTTCAGAGAGCAGCTGGAGAGGAGAGAGAAACACAACTAAGAAAATGTGCACAGTAAGGTGATAGACCAGAAAACACAGGATGGATTACAAGTAAGGCGAGTCATGGCAGAAAAGCCAGTGAAGAGCATTCCATTCCAGAGGAGGTTAAGTGAGCCTGGAGACCGGGTGTGGCAACGCAGCTTGAGGAGAAGGAGCAAGGGGCACAAAGAGGAAGCAACAGTTGTGAACCTGCTGTACCTTGCTCCCACAAGACCTCAATCCTAACACCTGGAACAGGTGATATATTACTCTACAGGCAAAAAGAATTTTGTAAATATGATTCCGTTAGGGACCATGAGTGGGGATACTATCCAGGTTTTCACAGTGGGATCCTAAGTCCCGAACGTTTGAAACTGAAATAGAAGAGGAGGGCACAGTGGTGACTTGTAAGATAGATTACACCCAACCACCCCTGCTGACTCGAGAGATGAAATTAAAGGGATCTGAGCCAAGGAGTTTGGGGTGGCCTACAGTATCTGGAAAAGGCAAGGAGTCAACTCCCTCTTGTTTCAGAAAGGAGCACAACCCTGCTGACAACTGGACAAAAAGCTGCTACAGGATCTCTTCAAACATCGCTAGGGTGCTCTCAGCTCTGCTGACATGTTAGCGAAGTGTTTCCTTCTGTTGCCTACTAACATCCTGGAGTTAACTTCTGAGGACCAACGTTGGTCGCCTTCAGGGAGCACACAGATAAAGGTGTGGGGTCGTGCTATTGATACAGCCACCCTCCCTCCCCCAGGATCCACACGTGCATACTTTTAGGACCTACAGCAAATAATAAAATCTGCAGAGGCCCAAACCATTTGTAAAAAGGAAAATGCTTGCCTGGAGCCCATGCACATCCTCCTGTACTCTCTGAATCATCCCTAGATTGCCTATAAGGCTTAACATAATGCAAAAGTTACATAGATAATTGTTAGACCAGATTGTTTAGAGAATAGTAACTGAAACAGCTCCATACATGCACATTACAAATGCCATTCTTTCTTCAGGTAGTTTCAATCTGCAGCTAACTGAATCCATGGATGCAGACCCACAGACTTGGGTCTGCAGACCCACAGACTTGGGGAGCCAAATGTGCAAGATAGAATGACAAAGGAAATGTGAGCTGTGTCTCAAGATTTTCTAGTAGAAATGTTCATTAGGGCTCCTAAAATTATACTGTGAATAAATGTATAAACTAAGCTTTGAATTCAATAGCACAGAATCAAAAACCATAATTAGTGGCAGAAATAGAGCAAATCTACTGGTCTAAAACAAACAAAAAGGAGGTATTACCTGCATCCTGATAGCAAAGGATCTGATTTTCAGTCAGCAAGAATCCTTCTTCTGCCAACGTGCCATTCTACATCAATTTTGATACCATTTCATGAGTTCAATTCTCTACAAACAAAGGGTGAAGAAAGAGCGGGCTTACAATGATGCAAAAATGTGGAAGCTGCTCTTTAAGGCACTGATGCTGGGTGGGCATTCCTGTGCATTGGATTAAGCCTCTCTTGGGACACTTGCTTTCCACATTGAAATGCCTAGAAACAGGTCTTACCTCCAATTTTCAATCCAGTTTCCTACCAAGACACCTGAGAGGCAATAGCTGATGATTCAGTGCTAGAATTCCTTCTATATAAAGATCCTGACTCCATTATAAAATGTAACCCTAGATAGGATTGGAGTTATTTTGTTTGGATGGGGTGTATTACAAATGATATATTTTAAAATATATTTTTCTAATCATTTCCAGAATACAGAAATGCAATTTATTTTCACACATTATTTTAAAACAGCAAACTACCTAAATTCCCAAAAATAGGAGCCAGCACCATGACATAGTAAACTAAGCCTCTGGCTGTAGAACAGGCATCCCATATGGTCAGAAGTTCATGTCCCAGGTGCTCCACTTCCAATCCAGCTCTCTGCTTATGGCCTGGGAAAGCAGCAGAAAATGGAAAAAGTCCGTGGGCCCTTGTACTCAGGTGAGATACCTGGAGGAAGCTCCTGGGCCCTGGCTTCAGCCTAATCCAGCCCTGGACACTGTAACCATCTGGGAAGTGGACAAGCAGATGGAAGGCCTCTCTGTCTTTGTCTCCCTTTCCCTCTGTATCCATGTATTCTAAACAAAAATAAATTTTTAAATTTATTTATTATTTATTAATAATAATTTTATTAAAATTAATAATTTAATTTTTAAATTTATTTATTATTTATTTTAAATTAGTCTTGTTGTTTATCTGGGGTCTTGTTAACAACAAGTTTATCACCTGCTACTAATACAGTTTTGTGTCTTCTTTTCAAATTTTTATGTTTATAACTTTTTCACTTCTAAAGTAGCATGGAAAATTTGTGGTAGTCGGGGGCATCTGTTTTTGCTTTCCTTGGGATTTACTGTGAAGGAAATACAGCTCCAGTCTCCTGAAGCAATAAATCTTGGCCCTCTCTTACACAGACCCTCATGAGTTCTGAAAGTCATTAAATGTACATACTATCCCAAGAGAAAATGAAAGCTCCAATACATTGGAAAGCATTTCCAATGCTCTTAAATATCTCATTATAGGTCTTAAATATATAAGTTTTCAATATTGTGTGTGTATGCTTTTATTCACCTTGACATACAATTTTGGCTTTGTGTTTCTGAGACTTGAATTTTGACATATTTCAATCATGGGGGAGTTTAGATCAACCATAGGGAAGTTGAGAATTTGGTTTCAAAGGTGTTGCAGTATTGGAAAAGGAAAGACAAAGAGAGGAGGAGGCATAAAAAATAGAAAATTATACAAGAGACCAAAACAGGCTAATAATCCTGCAGTGGGGTTCTCATTTAGCCCTAGTTACCTTCTTCATGGGAAGCCAACAATGCCTCAGTGTTTCTGATGTTAGCAAGAATCTGTCATTGTCCCTGTCAAAATTAATACTTAGTGTATTTTGACTAGAAAAAAAATATATTTGCAGATATCTTTAATAATTTAAGCAAGTTCCCTTCTATTCATAGTTTACAACCGTTTTTTATTTTGTTTTTACACTAGGAACAGATGGTCAAGTCTATTGCATGTCTTCCCTATATCTTGTAAGAATATCATATTTTGCCTTTAAATCTGTTACTGTACCATTACATTAATCCAATTTCCAATATTAAACAAAGCAGGCATTCTCAGGGTGAAAATACTTGGTCACACTGTATTTTCTTATTATTATATCATAATGCTAGTTTTTCTGGCATTTTCTCTTAGATTTTTATTTATTATTTTTCAAATGATTATGATTGAACCTGGCTTTTCCTCTCTTTACCAGGTCCTCATTTTGATATCAAGGTTATAAGCTCCTGGGGGCACTCTCTTTTTCTGAACACTGGTAATGGTTTTTACATACTGCTAAAACCACCTTATTTTGATGTTCTCCTTATTAGAAAAATTAAACAACTGACTCCACTTATTTAATAGTTGTAGGGTTGTTTTATGTTTTATATTTCTTTTTGAAACAATTCTGATAAATTGTTTTTACAAAAAATTATTTTATAGATTTTTTAATTTGTTGGCATTTATGTGTATAGAATATCTACTGATTTATAATCTTTTGAGTATAATAAATACTATTTTACTATGTCTATTTTAATTCTCAATATTATTCATAATACATTTCTCTTTTCTCTATTAATAAACTTTGCCAAAATTTGTCAATTTTGTGAAATTTTTGAAGAGACCCAACTTTTACTGTTGTTGGGTCTTTTTATGTGACTACTCTGATTCATGAGTTGTAGCCATTATTCCAATTATCTTGCTTAACATTTTGGAGGGTTTATTGTGTACCGCATGTTCTGAATTTATCCACATCTGGTCATTTTTCTAAGGAATTTCAGCTGTATTTTCTTCTAATGCCACATTGTCCAAATGATTTGAAATGAAACATTTTCATTATCATTCATTTCTAAGGCCTTTGAATTTGCTGTCATTACTTTGTAAACTTGTATTTGAAATTAGTTTGATAATGATTCTTTGAAACTTATTGATAATACTTACATAATCTGAATGTAGTCAATTTTTATAAATTTCCATGTACATTTGGGTCCATTATTCTGTATGTAATCTACAGCCATTCATTATCAATATTATTACTTGTGCTATTCAAATTACCCATACCCTTGACTTTTCTTATTTGCTTAACTTGTTCATTACTAGTACATAACATTAGAATCTGCCACTAGGGAACTAGATTTTCAATTTTTTCTTGTAACGCTTTCCATCTTGTTTTTATCCATTTTGAACATTTTTAAGTGGCTACATTAAAGTTTATTATTATATAGTCTTTATTTTTCAAAGACAATCATTTGTTTACTTGAAAGACAGAGTTACAGAGAGAGTTACACAGAGAGAGAGATGCTCCATACACTGGCTCACTCCCCCAAATGGCCACAACAAGAATCATCAGGGTCTCCCACGTGGTTTAAAGGGGACCAAGTGCTTGGACCGTCTTCCACTGCCGTCTCTGGCACGTTAGCAGACATGCGGATCAGAAGTGGAGCAGCCAGGACTGGGACCACAGCATCACAGGCAGTGTCTTCACCTGATAGACGTCACAACACCAGCCCCTGCTGTATCTTCTGAATAAATTGAATCTTTATTTTTATTATGTAGTTCCCCCTCTTTTTTTTGCATCAGTGCTCTTTCTCCCTAGAGAATAATTATTTTGATGTTTATATTTGGTAGCTATACAAGTTCTTCTTGCCAGTTATATTAGACATGTGAGACATAGGTCCAAAGATGTCAATCATGTAAAACATGAAAGAAATTATGTAATTATGTGGATAACAAAAACATTTTAATTAATATGTTCCATCAGGGGGAAAAAAGCCCCAGAGTAAATATGGAAATATTTGCACTCTATGCAATTAAAGGGATCTATTTTGTACTGGAAAGAGTCCACCAGAAGGCTATCAATTCCTAACCCCACTCATTTGTCTAAAAAGACAAAGAGAAAGAGAAGGAGAAGAGGAAGAAGATGAGAAGTATGGAAGGAGGAAAGAAATCTGTTCTGTCCCTATTCAGGAACAGAGGGAGAGCCTGGCACAATAGCTCAATGGTTAAATCCTCACCTATGGATGCCGGTTCGTGTCCCCGTCCTGTTCCAGCTGCTCAATTTCCTTTCCAGCTTCATGCTTATGGACTGGGAAAGCAGTGGAGGATGCCTGAAGTCCATGGGCACCTGCATCCATGTGGGAGACCCAGAAGTTTCTGGCTCCTGGTTTCACATTGGCTCAGCTCCAGCCAATGCAGCCATTTGGGGAATCTACTAGCAGATGGTTTCTTTATTTAAGAATACATATTTCTGAGATAATTTTCTGCTATTATCTCCTGAGATGGTGCCTCTCTGTTAACCTTGGGGAATTATGTTTAAATTTTTTAGATCGTTTTATTTTGAATTTTTATATGAAAACTTTTGAAGTTTGTGTTTAGCTTACAATCTTCCAAAATCCATCTAATAAAAGGTCATTTAAAATTCTCCACTGGAGGCTGTTCAGATCTCCAATATTTAGCAAGAAATAGAACCTCTGTATTTCTAAGGGCTGGCTTATGGAGACTGCTTTTCTTCCAAGCACCCAGCGGCTTTTCTTGTTGAGCTCATCTCTACATCAGGTTTATTTATCATGCATTCTTACACTGAGAGTGTCGACTTTGGGAATCCTAGCTGTGTGTGTCAACTAGGCTCCCAGTTTTATCTTTAACAATCCATCATCTGTGTTGCCAGCAAGATGGACATCTTCATTCCCAGCACTCAGCACAAGTCTGCCAAGTTCTGATCTGAGTTGTTTCTGAGGATTTCAGTATCAATACCAGTTTATAAATGCAATTTACAAGGCTTGAAAAATATCTTACCAAGCGTAAGTCTGTTTAGAATCAAACAGGATAACCATTCTACAATTCTCTTAGAAGCAGAAAATCCCCTGTCTTGTTTCCTAACGTGCCTCATTACTAATTTTCAGCTACTGAATTTTGTATGTATTTGGTATGCAACTATCTAACTACCTTACTTGGCACGATCATCTACCAATTTTTCTTATATTTTATAAGGGGGAAAGTTTATTTACAGTTAATGAACTTTCCTTTCTTTACTTTCTAACTGGCTATAATGCATACTTCTATTTCATAATTTATTTAATTTGCTAAAAATCTTTGGAACAATATAACATGATAACTACATGAAAAGCATCCTTGTTTGTAGCTTTAATATAAATCCATGTTTTCTATCAGATATGATAGTGACTCTTACAATAACATAGCTTAGTATGTTAGATATCAATTAGTAATTTATAAAATTTGCTAAGAAATTGTTGATATTTGATAGAATTCCTACGCGATTCTGCATATCACTCTATCATTGTTACATATCTCACCCTAGAATTCCAAATTTTAAAATAGCCTGAAATAGTATCCACTGGAGATAATACATTACATCTTTATCAGGATGATGAATTCACCATGCTCTGGAGTTTTTAGAACACTAACATTGATATTCACAATGCAATAATTGGTTGATTTGATTATACTCTGCCCACTTGGACTACTATATGAATTTGGGAAAGTGTGCCCCACTCGGAACTTTGACTAGCTTTCTAGGTCTCTTAAAAAAAAAACGAAGTCGGCTTCCAAGCCTCACCTGGTCCTGTAGGAGCTGGTCCCTGCCAGTCCCCCCGGCCTCAGCTTGGGTTTTCTGCCCACACTCAGCGTTCCAGCAACAGCACCGGTCTTCCTGCAAGGGCTCGGCTCCCTTAAGTGCTTTCTGCTTGAGGCCCTTCACACACACCTCTCCGGCCCAATCTTCTCAGCTCTTAGTCACTCTGGGTCCCAGTGGACACCAGTTTATAAACGAGCCATGTCCACACTTTCCCTGAACCAAATAGAGGCTCCCCCAACTTGAAATTCAGGATTCTAGAACTCTGTCCATCCAGGTCTTCCACATAGGAGGCAGGGGCCAAGTTCCTGGGCCTTCATCCAATGCCTTCGCATTATCAGGGAACTGTATCAGAAGCTGAACAGCCAACACTCAACCCAGCGTTTTGATATAGAACGCCACGGTGCCAATTTTTTGCATAACCCACAGCACCATGCCACTGGCCCCTAAAGTGACCACTCTAATCAGTTACTTCTAAATTCTGTCTTCAAGATGTATGTCAGTTTTTCTTTAATTCTGGTGATAATAACCTTCACTCGTTGAAGGACTCATCCAAAGGAGGGCTCAAAATGAGTCCGCAGCACTTGAAGAAGATATTATGAGTCCTCAGAAAAGTCTGCTTTTCTGCTCACTGCAAAGATCCAAGACAAGTTTTAAAAAGAAACAACCCTCTCCTACACCCTGGGTACACGAGGCATCATTTCCCCCCACAATAGCCCGGCCTTCTTTGTCCTCTGCAATGCCCCTTTGTAAACCACAGGTGTTTGTGGGTATAAAGCCCAACAGAAGAGATTTTTATTGTAAAGACTGCTTTCTTTGGCACTTGTTCTAAACCTGTTCGGAGAGCGCTCCGTGCCATAGACCAAATCTCCATAAAAATCAAGAAACAAGAAGTTTTCTGTATGCCTCTCAGCAGCTACACTAGGACATCAGTTTCCACAGCTCTGTGACCCCATATTGTCCCAACTTTATTCACTAGTCTCTTTTTCTCTGTGTCCACTACTTTTTTTTTTAATTTGGAGCCTTTATTGACACTTTTTTTTTAACTACGGTAAAATAAAGAGAAAGAGGATGGTTTGGTTTTTTGTTTTTTGTTTTTTTTGTTTTTTTTGTAAGCACTGTATGTGGCAGCTATCTGCAGTTACTGTAAGTAATGGTTTCACAAAACACCTGCAAATCAAAGAAAGATACCATGGCAGTGTCTTCAGATTCTTTTTCTTCTTCTTCTTCCCTTAAAATACTTGGCCATTATAGAGTAAGCCAGGGAATGAATTTATGTGACAGCTATGAAGTTAGTATTAAAATTGTGAATAGTCCCTAGCAGTTTTCATGCCCTTACTTCAAGATCGCCTCAATTTGCCACACAGCAGTGAATAGGGTAAAAAAAAGGGGGGGGGGTAGTGGGGGGGCTTGTCAGATGAATGGGAGGAGGAGGGTGCGTGAATGGGAGGGCTTCCCAGGAGGGGGGCAAGGCGGTACGCTGATCACCGCAGAAAAGTGATTTATTTTTTAAATTTCAGAAAGGAAAAGCTGGGCGAAGCTGTCTAAAAGATCCCGGGGTGCAGGGTGGGGAGATACAAGCACAATGCGGTCCAACGCGTTCCGCAGAGTCTAGGCCAACTCTAGGAGGAGCGGGCGGGCTGGGGCAGGTTGCGGGGGTGGGGATGCTGAGGGAAGCTCAGCCATTCCTCCGGTACTGGGAGACTGAAAATGAGATGCCAGCAGGGAGCAGATGTGTGCAGGGGCTGCCGGAGGAGGCTAAGGGGCACTGCAGGAGCGGTTGAGCGTGGACCTCAATGGAAATTAACCACTCGGGGCGAACTGGGCGGGAGCCGACTTGGAAGGACGTGGCGGGGGCACAGGGACGACGCGCAGGGCCTCTCTCCCGGCCAGGCGCGCTCCCGGAGCCGGGCCTTGGGGAGGGCTTGCAGGCGTCGGAGGCGAGCCGGAGCCACCGCAAGAAGGGGGCTTACCGCCGCCCCTCGTCCCGCCCCGGCCCGTATTAGCATGCGGGCGGCAGCGAGGCGGCCGGGAGGGAGGCGGCAGTGGGATCGCCGCGCGGGGCGCATTGTGGGCCGGGCTCCCTCCACGGGGGACCATCTGCTCGCTGTCAATGCATCACCTGCTCGTCTGGGCCGTCGCCCGGGCAACGGGGGCGGGGGATTAAGGAGCGTGTGCGTCTCTGGCCCGGCCGAGGCGGCGTCGGTGGCGGCGGGGCGCTGCACGGTCGCCCCCCTTTCCATCCCCCAACCCTGAGCCTGGTCTGCTGGGAGAAGGGGCCGGGGACCACCCGCCCAGAAGAGGAGGCGGAGACAAACGAGCCGGTCTCCCCCAGCCTTGAGGCGATGCGCCCCTAGAACCCACGTCTACCTGGAGCTGCGTGGGCCCCCTCCAGCGCGCGAGGCCTCCCTCTCCGCCATCGGGCCGGGGACGCAGCGCGGTTTCGAGCGCCCCCGCAGTCGCCGGGCAACCACAATGGGGTCGGCATCGCTGGGAGACGCTCCCCGGTTCCTGCAAACTTCCACTCTGCTGCTTTGACTTTTGGACCTGCAGTCCCACTCCCAGCGCCGGGCAGCCTTCCACATCAGAATAGGAGTGACATCGGAACGGGAATGGCGAGCAGGATGGAGGGGCCTGTGCGTGCCACATGGCTTGACGCTCCCTGGCCGGGATAGTTCTAGGGCAAAAATTCTCCCGGAAACCCCGAAATGACCCCTCTCCAGCAACTTCTCCATGCTGTCTAAATGGCATTGAATGTCGGAGAAAGAAAGAGTAATGCGGCCAACAGCAGGGGGCAGAGGTAGACTGCGGAAGGGGACAGGGCCGGTTTGAGAACAGTGAATTCTGGGGTTAAAAACTTACAGGAAAATGTGTCCTTGCTTCCCCATCTGCGTGTCCACCCCCCGCGTAATCCAGGGCGCGAACTGCACGAGTAAAAGTCATTTACCTTCACCTGAGGACTCCATGGAAGCCTTCCGGACACAGTTTGGCACCAAGAAGTTGCTAAGGTTTAATTGCAAGTCATGATTTATAGCTTTTTAGGAAAAAAAAAAAAAATCTAACCTGACTGATTGCTAGCCACTCCTGTGCAAGAAATGCAGAGAAGTGGTCATTTACCACAGGCACACCAGAATTCCAGACTGGGAACTCCCCGCACCCCCATATCACCTCACACCCCAACACCCACACCCAGACCCATGGGCTAGTATCTTTGCAGCCAGGTTACATTCCAGCTTGTTTTTAAAGATCTCTGAGTCAAGAAAGCCTCAAGTCCGTTTTAGATGTCCCCCATTCCAGATCTGACAACTTTAGAGGAAGCAAAAGGCTTTAACTAAGCAGCACAAAACCATTTTTCTGCATTTCTGGGGGGGGGGGGGGGGGGAGAAATTCACTGCTTTTCAGACCAAGCCTTTGTGTTGAAATTATTAAGTTTCTCACTAATTTTTCTCAAATTTTGTGTTTATCCCAATCTTTTTTTTTCCCCCTGTAATCTAGCCTCTGTTTGAAATGATGCTACATGGAAGGCAGTGTTTGGCACAGTGGTCAAGATGTTGCTTGGAATCCAGTATCCCATATTGAGTCCTGGCTTTGTTCCCAATTCCAGCTTCCTGCCAATTAATGTACACACTGAGAAATGACAAATGATGGCTCATGTAGTTGGGTTTCTGCAATGCACAACAGAGCTAGATTGAGTCTAGGCAGCTGGCCTCAGTCAGGCCTGACCCAACCCTGCTGTTGTAGATATTTGGGAAATAAACTAGCAAATAGCAGACTTCTCGCTCTGTTTCTGTGTGTGTGTGTCTCGCTTTCAAATAAAATTTTTAAAAATTTAAAAATTATGCCAAATGTAAATTTATGCTAATTACCCTGGACTCATCCAACTAAAACTCTGTGATCATCAAATAAAATTTCTCCAATTCTTTTATAATTTATAGATAAGAACACCATGGATCAGTACGAGGTTATGATTCAAAGGAAATTTTGAAAAGTTGCTGTTACTATGTTATTCTCTTTCTTCCTATTACTAACATGCAAAAGAAAAGTCAACCATCAGCATGCCCCTAGGTTTGACATAATAGATATGGGGGGGGGGGGGAAGTGGATATGTACAAAGTTATTCAAAATAAAGATTCTACCTACCCTAAATTTTAATTGTGACTTTCATAAAATAAAATTGAAAATTCTGAAATGATGCACTCTTTGCACCACAAGCTACTTCTCCTTAAAAAAAAAAATGATTTATTTACTTGAAGAATATAAAGACAGTGAGAGATCTTCCATCAGCTCTTTCACTCCCCTGATGCTCTCAGCAGACAGGGCTGGGCCAGGCCAATGCCAAATCCATTGTATCTCCCAAGGGTGACAGAGGCACAGCTCCTTGAGCCATTACCTGCAATCTACCTCCCAGGATGAGTTATCAGAGCCAACATGCAAACTCAGACACTCTGACATGGAATGTGGGCATTGTAAGCAACATCCTAACCACTCCATCACTCATATCCACAAAGACCCTTGGCTGCATTACCACCCAGGGAAGGCCTGGGTTTGAGTCCTAACATCCCATCTGCTCAGAAGGTAATGAAACCCTAAGGATGGCAGTGAACAGGCCAAGTCTGTGTAGTCTGTAGCTAAGGATGCCGGGGCTCGCTCAAAGCCACCAATCTCCTAGAGGTGCATCAATTCAACGAATAATCCTTGACTAGCTGCCACATGAGGGCAAATAGACAAAGGTCTCAGTCTTCATGGGGCTCACAGCTTAAGAAGTATAAACAGATTTCTTGGGAGGAAACACCTACTTGCCCATTGAAGATTATCTTTGAACACGTAACCAGCTACTACAATGAGAGAGAAAATATATTCATAAATAAGATAGATAAGCTCCAAAAAGAGAAAAATACACAAGAGAATGTCCAAATATATATATTTATATATATACAAATATGACAAGGTATCATGGAAATATAGAGAAGCTGTTAAGTAACTTTTACCTGATAACACCACAGAGATGTCCCAAACTTCACTACAATTAGTGAGAATCTCTAGCAGTAAAAAGGATATAAACAGGTTTTGCATGGATGTGACAGACGTTTCACTGGCAGTCAAGATTCCAGTTAAAATGTCCTCACCCCACATCAGAGAGTACTTGGATTTCCAAGTCCAGCCTCTGGTTCATGCGGATGCTGGGAACTCCAGTAACTGAATCCTTGACACTTGCTTCGGACCTGAGTTGAGATCCCAGCTCCCTGCTTCAGCCCAGTCCAGTCCTAGCTATTGTAAGCGTTGGAGAAGTATACTCTCCCTCCCTCCTTTCCTTCCCCCACACCCCTCTTTCTCTCAACATGTCTGTGTCTGCCTTCTGCCTCTCAAATAATTTTTTTTAAATATTATTTTGGTGCAATAATTTTTTTAAATCCACATGTAGATTTTTCATGATATAGGTTTTCCATGGTTTGGGGATTTTTTGCTGTTGTTTTATTTTTGGGTTTTTTTTTTTTTAAGAACCTGCAAATGTTTGGGGTAAGTTAACATAGAATCTTCTCTAGTTGATGCTGCAGAAAGGTTGGGCACCAACCTTTATGTCCAAAGCCTGATGATTCACACATAACTGGGGACCCTGGTATGCCTCTTTGGAACACTGAATACCAGTTTTTTAGGCAATGGTGTCATTAAATGTTTCAAGACAAGATAGTGGGAGGTTAAATGGAAAAGAGAAAGCAAGAAGAATAGTCAGGATGCTATTGGCTATTAAAAGCATAACATCTTGAGAATTTAATGAGAACAGTAACATTGATAGTGAAATGGAAAATAATTGCATCTGGAATATTGCATCCTCCTTATGTACAGTCATTCTGCTTCAGGGAAAATAGTTTTGTATTGGGTACATCTGAGCTTGAGCATTTTAAAATGATAAAATACAGCTTATAATATGTTACTATGGCCAACTGTCCCCATATCCACAAAAGTTAATGTGAAACAAATTCCTATGCAGTTACTGTTAAAATGATAGGCCATTTATCAGACTATAGACTTTATGATGCTAAGATGAACAAATGGAAGACATGAAAAGATAACACCAAGGAAAGAGTAGACGGATAATTCCCCATACTGCCTTCATTTACTATGAGAACCAATTTTTGAACAGTGACCAAGGTCAGCCCTTTGCTCATGCTTTCTCAAAAGTTCAAGCTCTTCTCTTTCATAATTACACAAAATTCACTATTGCTCACTTAAAATCAGCCATTAAAAGAGCCACGTGTATGTGGGGTTGGGGGGGGTGTGTTTGGAGTAGAGATTGATGTTACCTACTTCCTGTAGCACAGTGCCTGGGTGCAAGTCCTGGCTCAGCCTCTGATTCCAACTTCCTGCTAATTCACACCGGGCGGGGACGGGGGACAGGTCATGGCCCACTGCCACCCACATGGGAGACTTGGATTAAGTCCCTGGCTTCTGCTGGTCAATAGGGTCATCCGGGTGTAACCCAGAAGAGCAGGAGCTCTTTCTATCTCTATCTCTGCCTCTCAAATAGAAGAAGAAAAGAAAGTTCCTCACGGGTAGGAGGCTTTTGATTTCAAGGAAACTGTGACACTCCTGGAGAGAGAAAGACAAAGGTACCCTCACACGAATAGAAGACAGGCAACAGAGAGAAGCTGGGACGCCAGAGAAATTCACATGATAAAGATGCTTGGCATTTAGCCAGTGATGAAAACTATAAATATTAATCAGACAAGAATCAGTGTCACTTTACTGCAAGAATATTCCATAATTAAAAGGGTGGGCATTGTGTGGTGCATGTTAGCACAATTGCCGCCAATAATGTGGGATGCCAGCAGCTCCTGAGTGCTGGAAAGAACACAGACTCCTAAGGATGTCACTTAGCAGGAAGTTTGCTATGTAAATATCAGCCACTGATGTCAAATTCAAATGGAATCTCAAAGCAAAGGGGGAATACATGCCCAGGTTTCAAAATTGTGTTTCTGTCTCTAAAACACACACAAAAAAAAAAAAGATAAGGAAAGGAGCAATGATCAGGTGTCTATAAAAAAAAAACACATATTTTCTAAATGCTTTCCATACATTGCATCATTTAATCCTTATCTCAGATCTGCAAAGTTGGGATTATCATTACCGCATTTCAAGGATAAAGCCCTCCAAAACTTGACTTTGCAGTTCACCATATGACTGTTGAAAGTGTCAAAATGCCACTGAAGTTGATAAAGGAGAATCATGATGACATTGGGATGTCTCATTGGTCATCCGTGTGAACACCGACTGTCCCAGGAGCTGATGGGACTTAGTGGGGGATGGAAGGGCTGGGAGGGAGCTCAAGTGCTCTCCTTTAGGTAAGCCTGCAGTAACCCTATTTAGCAACCAGGCAAAAGGGGGTTTGCGTACTATACCATATGTGTTCATTAAGAGAGGAT